AGATCAAGACAAGAATTTCGCTGAATAAAAAGAAGAATTCAGCTGAGTAACGAATATCATCTTGAATAGAACAAACTGTGCAACCAAAACGTTTCATAGACTAAACTTATAATTGATTTATCGAGTTACTTAATACGATAAGTATACAATCTGCAGTAATACTAGCATTCAAACGATTACAATAATCATGTCCATTAAGATAATGAGAATAAATACAAGTTGTAAGTAAATCTGTGTCCAGACTAGTAATCGGCACAACTAGACAAGACGATGTAAACAATCACAAATCCATGAACTAATTAGATAGAGAAGTTCAGTATTAGTCGACTCACCAAAGTTTACATACTCATATCTATGACTTGCAGACTAATAGCAACATGCTAATAGGTAAACATTCATAGGTAAGATTTATTACAGCTACTATCGAATATTATAAAAGGATAATGTGCAAAGTAATATTACGGAAACAACTCTCGTCTTTATTCTGTTTTTCATATTATTTCTTTTTAGCAGAAGCTCATTTATTGTAAATGACAATATACTGTTACTGATAGTGGCTATAAGTGCAGGAAAAACTGTCAATTCTTAATACGGAGAAAAATATCCGTAAGGCTGGATGCAGAGAAGAAAGTAGAACTGTAGATAGGAATCGGTCACACATCATAAATAAATCAGCAACAAATTTAACCACTGATCGAAACTATATCTAAATACAACGATTTATATGATCGACTTAGTTGGTCAATAGACAAACTCGGATACATTGAACTGACCACAGATCAACAAATAACTGGATGTATTTAAGCAATTCACGACACCAAATATATCAACCTTTTTAGTTAACAATTAAAACTGAACTACTGACCTATAAATTTGCTCCTTTTCAACATCTCTCTTTTGATCGGATATACTTGAGTGAGATTTCCTGTAGTAGAGACCAACCTGAAAATTAGTTATTCTAACGAATTCTTTTCCCGTTTCAAAATAATGGTCATGAATCATGTTCATTTAAGCATCTAAGTTTTTTAGATGTCACATTGACAGAATGAATAAATTGACAAGAAACTGAAATGCATGGATAAGAGATATCCGTCTTTTCACCATATTGGCTTTTGTATTCTCATTATTAATACTTGACATGAATGCACTTTCTACATAAAATTATTTCTAGAATGCGATAAAACCCCTAAATACTAATTTCTTAATAAATTATGATTATAACTTTCCTGGTACTTGAAGTTGACAGAAGACACAAATTAATCACTATTCTATACAAACATCATAACTTCACTCATCCTCCACCAACTTAACATCAAACTAGAAACAGAAGACAAGTTTACAATTTTCTATCTCATTCTCAGAAAATATTGATATCTAATAAAAGACGCATACGAAATCCAGAAGCAGCAGATAACTGTATGCTACCTATAAATATATTGCAGTTGAAATGAATTTGACCTAACAAAGTAAAGTTTTAGCATTTGAATTTATTATTCATTTTATTTCAATACATATAATAATTACAACTAAATTCATTGGATAGGTTTTGCAAAGACATTGACTGCTCTAGAAAAACAGAATCAGCAGATATCATTGACACGATGAGGCCGGCACTTGACTTTGAATTTCCGAACCAGCGGTGTTCAGCTAAGTTAATCCTCATTAAATCTTCGTTTTTGCCATGCTTAGTCAGTGAGTTATATGCAGCGTAGAGCCTGGCACACGTGCCACAGTAATAATTAATTTAGCGCATTCAACTGCTTAATTATACAAAAATGCCTTAAAGTTAAGTAACTGATACTTCTCGTATATTGTAGATGTCATAGTACTGGCGTTTCTATATACAAAGTTAGGTCATTAATCAAACTACAAACAATCTCAAAATTTCCTGATTTAATCCTCTCCTGTTTGGTCGGAACTCTTCAAACTTAATCTAACATCTCTTTTACCCATCTTTTAACGAATCATTAGTTTCACGTTAAACACATATGTTAGTTAACATAATTTAATCAAAATTTTAAACTTAACGACGGCAGTGAATTATATTATTCAAATTTTACAGCTTCGTCTGGGTCATCGATTCAAATTGTGTGGGTGTTATTAGACTAACCTTACATTGTGAGTCTAATTAACTAAATTACTCTTATAGTTTACACTGACATTCCATTAGCTTTTATCTGTAAAAATGTTAATTACTTCGTACAGATTGTTTCATCATAAAGTTTGTGTACTATCCACGCAATTAATTTTCAATAGTCCAGTGATAAGTGACTTTATCCATTGAACGGAAACCAACGAAGCTATTTACTTTGACAGTCAGTGATCGAAATAGAGAATAGCTCCCGATTCTCATATTTATGTATTTTACAGAGTAAAAAATACCGTCGAATTGTAAACTGTACTACGAAACAGAGATTTAAACGCTTCCAAAGTGGAATCTGAAATCGCCATCAGCTACAAATAGCCTATAAAGAACTCTGCGGAACATTTCGAAAATTTATACTCACTTCCAACTTAAGTGGTTAGTCGGTAATATTCATCCATTCCACATTTTCGGTGAGTGAGACAAGTTTTACATATAAGTGAGTATACGTGAATTGTGAGGTTTTGTCAAGAGATGTTATGACGAAGGATACACCAAGAAAACGGACTTCATCAATCTATGTTATAGCATTGTTAGTAAAAGGTAACTAAGGTACGTTTAAGATGAGTTGATATTTATATCTGTAAACGTATTGTTAAAGCTTTAAGCATATTCAGAATACGTATGGTACTGAACGGTTGCGAAAACAGTCTTTTATAGCTGTCTATCCAAAATCGTAAATCTCCGTCAACAATTGTCTTACGAGTGTTTCTTTGAAAAGCTAACTTATATATGGCTTTGATTCAATCGAGCTTTGTATTTGTATGTACACGACCGATGCGTTCACAAATTTCCTCGTTTAATGTATAGGCTGGATGGTATGCGATCCGTCCACTTTCTGTTATGTATTTTAATTGGGGATTAGGGTGTGTGCCTTCCACACTTCCAATTGATGTATATCTGTAATACGAAAAAATACATTGTTTATTTAAAAAGCAGAAACAAATTATTAAGACATGATAAGACCTAGGCTGAAATAGACATATTAAGAAAAGGGGACAATAGTAGCTGTCAAAAACCTAGAGATGGTAATCACGTTACGTAGCGAACTGAATTCAATAGCAAAATGTGAATCGCTAGACCCGATCCTAGTGACTGTACAGAATCATGCTCAAGTAGTGATCACAGATATGTTCTATTAGGTTATAGGCTCGCACATTATATCATGAAATCGTGTATCACTACAATTGGGACCTGAATATACATTCAGTTACGATGCATTGGATTTGAGAAATAGCAATCCTAGATAAATGCCTAAACTTTGATAAGTAAAGAGAATTTGGAACCTGTCTAGAAGAAACAAATGCTTTGGCAACTAGCCATGTTCCCCTAGTATTCATAATAACTTGACTTGTATCAACCACAATAAATTATCTACACTTATTGTCTAAAGAAAATGTTGTGCTGTTTTACACAATGTCCGGACGGTAAAGACTCCAACAAGTAGTTTGGAATGGGTTTTCTGGAGATCAAGAATAACATTTCGCGTGCTCAAACCATTAGCACTAGCAGTGCATACTGTTAAACGGATGTGAAATGGTTAGACATGGAGATAAAAGAGATGTTAGGGGGTGTAGGTAGGATTCGTTTCTGACCAATTCGATCTCGCATGCTGTTACGGGTATGCCGGCGGATGTCACTTCCCATCTGCCCACACCGCGGAAGGGTGTTTCTTGAGGAACCTGAAAAAGAAGGTATATTAGTGTTGGTCTTAACGACCTGGGTACGTGACCACAGAGCCCAAGGGACAACTGCTTGAGGCCGGTCACGCACGGCCTTTCTATGAGAAATTCTTAAAGTGTTAGCTCCGTTCTTATGTAGAATGCCTTTCCCCCGGAGATGGAAATTCGTGAGGTAAAGTGAGGTGTGACATTTTCGGGGCTGACCTTATCTAACACTTTCCTTCCTTGTTAGAAGGCAGCTTCTCTACAAACACTGGTTGTCCGAGGGAAATACCTTACTGCTGTCAGACTCCTCTACAGACAGCAGTACGACTTCGCGTTCAGACCTTGAGTAGCTGCTTTTTCTCTCATCGTTCTCCAATCGACCTGCCTGGCATGGTAGAACCTACAGAAACATATTTTCCAGCATATATAGCTCGGTCGAGTCATCACGATAGGCAGACCCGGCCACCACGACAAGGTGGCAGCTACGGTCGGGGCGCTTTCTGATAAGGCTTCAGTGGCTTAAGGATTAAAATCTAATGCCAAAGAATTACCAGATGACCTTATGGAACGACACAATAGCTAGTAAAAAGTTCGCCCCACCTAAATGTACACAAAAATTTTAACGTAGTACGTTCTTTGACATCCAATACTTTTGCAGGGTTAGACAATACGATGACCTAGAGACAGCAAATCAAATTCCAGAGAAGTCGTACTCAATACCTATTGGCTGGATATAATTTATATTACTTGACAAGATCAAGCTGCCTACTCTGACACTGAGGATCTTTGGAATGTTTGAGATACCCGAAGGTTATATATTTGGGATGGGCAACCCTCTGTTAGATATAATTGTAGATGCTGACAATCATTTGTATCGAAAATATAGACTGAAAGAAGACAACGTAGTACTGGCTGAAGCAGAACATATGGCCATCTACGACGACATAGAGAAAAAAAGCCGCATAAATCGCGTTGCAGGAGGAGCCACTTTAAATACAGTTAAAATGATTCAGTGGATACTTCAGAAACCATTTGTTTGCTCATTTGTCGGATGCATAGGTTCTGACATTCAAGGAGAGTACATTGCGAAGGATTGTTCGATGTTTGACTTAAGGACAGAGTTCCAGACCACAAACGGGACTTCGAAGACCGGAAAGGTAGCAGTCCTTGTCAGAGATAAACTACGGAGCATGGTCACCTACTTGGGAGCAGCGTCTGATCTTTCTTTGGACCATATTGAGAGACCAGATGTTTGGGGCCTTGTGGAAAAAGCACAAGTGTATTATATTGCAGTAAGTCAAAATTGTGTTATATAGTTATTTTCAAGGGCTTCGTAATAAATACATGTTATGAAGGTATGCATAAAATAGCTACACATTCCTTGGAAAATGGAAAGTTATTTTGTTTCAATCTTAGTGCTCCTTTCCTTCCTCAATACAATACTCAGCAAGTAAATGAAATGATATCGTATTCAAACATAGTCTTTGGAAACGAAGCTGAAGCTAAAGCATATGGAGTAGCTAATGGTCTTCAGGATAGAACTGTTCATGGAGTAGCACGTTTCCTAGCTGATTTACCATTTGCTGATGGAAAACAGCGTAAACGACTGGTTATAATAACTCGAGGAAAAGACCCCTTAATATATACAAACTCTTTTGAATCGGATGTCCACCAATTTATGGTAGAGCATGTTGAAGACCATCAAATAGTCGATACGAATGGAGCTGGAGATGCATTTGCTGCCGGATTTATTGCAGATTACATACGTAAAAAGCCATTGATCACGTCGCTGCAATCTGCTGTGAGAGCCGCTACCTATATTATATGCAGATCTGGATTCTCCTTAGGTTCCAGAGAAAATTATTTTTTAAAATTAAATAAATAGATTACAACTAAATTTGTCTCATTTCTAGGTGTGACATTAAATAATCATGAACCTCCTAGTAGACAACAGATGCTTTTTAACAATGGTATGAGGCCTTTTACTCCTCATCGGGATTTCAGTTGCAAACACTAACCTACGCCTGTTACTCCTTATGGAGCATAGGCCGCCGACCAACGAATTATTTTTCTGGTTAGCATTTTTTAGCGAGTTGGATTTCTACAGGATGGCGTCGCTAAGCCGATGTTCAACCCTCCTTCCTTATCCTGGCTTGGGACCGTCAGCAACCCGAGAGGGGCAAAGTTAGATACACAAATTCGCTTCCATATATGATCATGAGTAAGACTTTTCCTCCAGACGTTGTTAGTCAATCGCAACTTAACATAAAATTGTAGAGTTCTTACCCACTTTATAATAAGTAGGATTATGTCCTAGAATTTTAATGATGTGGAAACCTAAAATATGACTAACTTCCTATTTTTAGCAGTGATCTAAATCAGATAGTGTCTGGTTCCTGAAAATACAAGACTGACAATTTGGGATGTCATAATTTCTGTTTATAGGTTTTTAGACACATTCCTTTTATATCGTTTCGAGTGACTGGTAAAATTTATCGTTGATATCATGTTAAGGATCCATTGAAGAGAAGTTTGAACTTAATGCAAATGCAGACATGCATCATAGTGGTTTACCACAACACAGTAATAACTACATCATAACCAGAGCATAGTTAGACTGAGTGGAATGCAAAAGCTAATATTACTAGGTTATTTTTTAGTGTAGTCAGGGATGTGATGTTAAGAGAAACATTAGTCAGAATTTGGTCTGGCTTATATACTTTGAAGAAACTACGACAAAATTATGCCATACTCACAACAAACTGACAAAATAATCCTTTGTTTTTCTGACTACACTGACAATACATTACCTTCAAGACACCAAGTGAGTATGTATTAAGGACGAACCAGTATGGACAGACAAAACAAGTGATACTTTCATTCTTACCTACGGAAATGCACCCTATGTAACAGTTAAAAGTGTGAAACCTGACATTCTGAAAGTTTTTAACTTACGTAGGTCGCGAGTCATCAACTATATACACATCTAACACATTTCTCATGTACACTGGAATCACCAAGTCCCGTTTAGACGACTCAAACTGTGTATATTTTAGGCAAGCACAATATAGACCTAAAAGGTATACATGAAAATCTAAAAAATGGGTTGGTAATTAGTCGTGGTTGACAAATCATTATTTTTTTAGTTTTTCTCCATCATTAATCAAATAATTGTAAATTTACACGAGTTTTATTAAAATCACTATCATCTAGCCAAACAGTTCAAACTGTCTTCTTAAACCTACTTTTAGTATGTTACTAAATAAAAGTGCTTATCAGAGTGCTTTATACAAATGTTCACTCATATCCTGTTAAGTTTATTAACTGATCTATTAAAGTTAAGATTTATGAAGTACAAGCGCAGAATTTCATGAGCAACATCTGCAAAGAAACTTTCAGTTAAGTATTGTTTAAAGAAGCGATGGCAAGCGATGGAGTCTTAGACGCACGTTTTGTCCTAATGTGGACTCGTATGCCGAATTTATTGGTTGTTCGATCCTTCTCAATGATATTGAGGACTGCGACTGAATAACCTGCCGATAAGGGTTTACTTTTGATGACAGCAAGCTGAGTCGATAGCTCAATACGTTCCTCGGTGGATAAACAATAACTCTCAATGTCTATTGTAGCTTTAGAAACAATCATTCCACTCTTGTACCTCGTTTAACTCAGCCTCGAGGCCTTTTAAGGTTACTGCCGGTCCGAAGCCTGGATAAGGGAGGAGGGTTAGGCATAGGCTTAGCAACGCCATCCCGTAGAAATCCAGCTCGCTAAAAAATGCTAACCAGAAAAATAATTCGTTGGTCTGCGGCCTATGCTGCATAAGGAGTAACAGGCGTAAATAAGTAAGCTGAACGTTGTTTGTGACAGACATTCTCTTCACTACCTGAAGACAAAATAATCATGATTCAGCGCACCATCACTTTGAAAATATACTCTACGAGGAACTGCTAGTAGTTTTGCCACTGCTGAGTTCTATCTTCAGCGATATGGAAAGGATACTATATATTAGCATTACCTGTGCTGACCGAAAAAGACAGACCTGCAAAACGGCTTTTGGTTAGTCTCATACACTCAAATTATTGTCAAAGATTCCCTGTAGGTTGTGGATTTGCTTACTCTATACTGCTATCGGATATTCTTTTACATTATGTTATCTGTGCGAAATTCGTTTCATTACGTTGTAATAAACGAAGATGGAAGACCAGATTGAATGTGTCATCTATTTGAAGATAATACAATGTACTAGCTTAACAAGAATACACCCTATCATAAAACATCCATTTGCAAAACAAGCGCATTCCTGGCTGTCTTCTGTTCCTCAAGATGTTTGATCAGTGACATGCATCCGCGTACAACACTACTAACGTTTTAGACGGTATTCTGCTGCACTGCACTTACAAGCCTCGTTGTAAGTGGAACACACTACTTTGATTTTCATCTTGATAGTTTCACCCAGATGTGGTATATAATTCTGAGACGAATCACATGAATAACACGTATGCTACTTATGAAGGGCAGTAAATAATGAGGGACTGTCAGCAAAAGTAGCCAAATTCCATACGGTAACTTGTGATAACCAGAACAATCTAAGTGTCGTATACAACCATCACATTTGTCACTAATTAAACGGATGTTGGGTTTTCTAGAATACTTCGCATGTTTTTGAAAAGCTTCATCGACTGTAACTGAGATTCATGCTTGAAGTCGAATTGATTATTTTCTAGAAGAAGCTCATCGTTATCAGAATTAACGAAGGAAATTGCAACGGACTCACATAGGTCCTAGTAATGTGTCCGGTGGTTGTGTCCAACGTATATACGAACTTCCGTGGATTGTCAAAAACCTACTCATTGAGAGTATTCAACAATAGCTCACTGAGTTTTGTAGTAGTAATAGAATTGTTTGCTTTCCGCAATATCCCGATTTTTCATGTCTGATAATCAGAATGGCGAAATTTCGGAGTTACCTGCAAATATTTGACTTTGTATTCGACAGGTTATCAAGCATTTCATTAGATCCGTTAATAGAGAAGATTGTCGTTGAACCGTTGTTAAATGTTTCAGGCCTAGTATAGTCGGTCCAAAATCACTGACGATGAACTCATCAGTTATAATCGAAGATCTGTTACCTCTGATCAGTGAGTTACATGATTAGAGAATGGGGACTTTATGACCAGTAATACTTGAAATAAGACCCCAAGTAGGTTTAATTACAGCATTGGAAATCGGTTATTTTAACGTTTGGACTTAAATGATAGATTCTATACAACTAGTGTGAGCGGTAAAATCATGAAAAGAACCATTAGTTAAACATAATCGTTCTCGGATATGAAGTGAACCGCTGGAGGTTTACAACAAGGATAGCATCTCATTTTTGGAATAAAAGACACTAATAAGATCCGTGTAACAGGATTTATCATAACTAGCGGCGAAATGCACAGCTGATATACAAGCAGATTTGATGTGACCTATTTTGCCACTTGATGCATTTGGCATCACGAAATGTGCATGGATTGCAAGCGTTGAACTCGCGACACGATAGCCATTCACCAAACTCTTGCTGACCTTTATTATTTGCAATGCAATTGTCCTATGAATTGTCTCTGATGTTCCCACGAAAACGATGTAAAGCGTTAATTAAACGCCTGTCCGTATGACCTTCAGTACTAACGGAATTAGGACAGCTGAGTTAAATCCAATTTAATACCTTTCTCACGAGCTAGTATAAACCAGTTGATTTCTTTGCGCTCCATGAAATCACTTTTATCCTGGAACATCGTCTCTTGTACTGCTTCGTTATGTGCAGAGACAGTTCAAGCATTAGTACGCTGTTTTTGTGTCTCTCCCTAGGACAGTTCTATGGTGTATAAATAAACTCGATTTGTGTGCTTGAGATCATTGTATATTTTCTGGGTGCTTCTAGAATGCACTTTTCTACATCATACCAAGACTTCTCCTTCAGTCAGGCAGGGAAACGGATTGGAGTAGCATATCGTATCACTGCATCATTGTCTCGTTCTCGTTTATCGACTAAGGTGAACTCGAAATACTGACAATCATATCATTTGACGAGCATAACAGTAATATACCGGTTTCAGTTTACATGGATTAGGTAGAGTGGGGTAAGTGAGTAAAAGATATTTGAGGTGGTCGGTCAGAAGGACTGGACAAAATAGTATTACAGCTTGAAGGGGTTGATAGTGACATGATTGTTTGTCATCTACTACATCACAGTATGTAGAGGATGACTTGAGGGAGGTGGGAATGTCGCCTTCAACAGCTAATGGTAACAAAACAACTCTGTTGAATGAATGAGCGTTATGACGGAGTCAGGTATATGTTACGTAGGAGGGACCAAATTGTAAAAGGTGTTTCGTTTTGGTTGGTGTATAGAAACATTAGGCGGATGGCCAATCAGGCCGGCGTTATGGGTCTTCTGAGCACTAGTTGGCGTTCTAGCACTTTTGTGGGCAATTAAGGGGATAGCAAGTTTTGGGTTAGACATTGGGAGGTGCCTAATGTTAGAGTTTAGGAAGGTATTTGTAGTGTGTATGTCCTTATTCTTAGGAGTTCTAGGACTTAATCCTGAGTAGGAGTAGTAGTCAGTAGGCCTTGTTGCTTACTAGGTAGGTTAAGTACTGTGGACTGACAGTCAGAACGTTTGGCACGTTTCCAGATAACAATTAAACAGGCATTTGAGAAAGACAACTTTATATCTGGCTGAATACGTGAGCTATTACGTAAGGGGTATGACGAGATAATGTCTTAAATGTGCCCGCCTGTATACCACAAAAGTTCTGATAAAGAAAAGGAAAGGAAAAGGTTCGAGAAGCAGAACAAAAATTAAACGCAATTCAAGTTGAGTAATGGCTAAACAGATACA